TTAAAAAGAAAGGAATATGTGGGTAGCCATGATTGCTTACGTTCTCAATAGACATGGCATTAAAAAAAAAAAAATATGGCATGGGTAGCCATGATTAAGCCATCCTCAATAGACATGGCATTAAAAAGAAAGGAATATTTGGATAGCCATGATTGCTTAAGATACAAAAAAAAGACAAATTGCATTAAAAAAGAAAGAATATTGAATAGGGTAGCCATAATTGCTTACGTCCTCAGACATGGCATTAAAAAGAAAGTAATTACGTCGCTCAATAGACATGGCATTAAAAAAAGTACATTGATTGCTTATTTCTCAATAGACATATTAAAAGAAAAGAATATTTGGTAGCCATGATTGCTACGTCCTCAATAGACATGGCATTAAAAAAAAGGAATATTTGGGTAATCATTTCGGCTTACGTCCTCAATAGACATGGCATTAAAAAAAGAAAGTAATATGTGGGTAGCCAGGATTGCTTGCGTCCTCAATGGACATGGCATTAAAAAAGAAAGTAATATTGGGTAGCCAAGATTGCTTACGTTCTCAATAGACATGGCAAAAAAAAGTAAAATGTGGGTAGCCATGATTGCTTACGTTCTCAATAGACAAAGCATTAAAAAGAAAAGAATATGTGGGTAGCCATGATTGTTACGTTCTCAATAGACAAAGTATTTCAAGGCATTAAAAATGAAAGAATATTTTAGATTGCAACGTTCTCAATGGTTGAAAAGCTACGTCCTCAAGCCGGACATGGCATTAAAAAAGAAAGGGAATATGTGGGCAGCCATGATTGCTTACGTTCTCAATAGACAGAGCATTAAAAAAAAAATTTGAGTCGTATGTCAGGTCAGACCGAAAAAATATTGGTAGCTCATGATTGACTAACGTCCTCAATAGACATGGCATTAAAAGAAAAAGAATATGTGGGTAGCCAGATTGCTTACGTTCTCAATAGACATGGCATTAAAAAGAAAGTAATATTTGAAGCCATCATTCGGCTTACGTTCTCAGTAGACATGGCATTAAAAAGAAAGTAATATGTAGGTAGCCATGATTGCTTACGTTCTCATGAGATAAGGCATTAAAAAAGAAAGAATATTTTAGTAGTCAGGTTGCTTACGTTCTCAAAGACATGGCATTAAAACATGGCATTAAAAGAAAGAATATTTGGGTAGCCAAAATTGCTTACGTTCTCAATAGACATGGCATTAAAAAAGAAAGTAATATGTGGGTAGCCAGATTGCTTAATGTTCTCAATAAAAAGTTTTAAAAAAAAAGATATTTGAGTAGTCAGATTGCTTACGTCCTCAATGACATGGTTATTAAAAAGAAAGGAATCGTAATATTGCTTACGTTCTCAGACAAAGTATTAAAAGAAAGAATATTTGAGTAGTCAGGGTCGGCTACGTCCCCTCAATAGACATGGCATTAAAAAAGAAAGTAATATGTGGGTAGCCACCATGATTGCTTTTACGTTCTTGACATTATTAAAAAAGAAAAGTTCCATATTTGGGTAGCCAATTTTGCTTACGTTACTCAATAGACATGGCATTAAAAAAAAAAGGAATATTTGGGTAGCCATGATTGCTTATTGTCCTCAAGACATGGTATTAAAAAGAAAGATATTTGAGAAGTTAGACATGATTGTTAAAAAAGAAAAACGAACTAAAGTAAAAAAAAAGAAAAGAATATTTGAAGCCAGGTCGGCTACGTCCTCAATAGACATGGCATTAAAAAGAAAGAAATATTTGGGTAGCCATGATTGCTTACGTTCTCAAGACATGGCATTAAAGAGAAAATATTTGGGTAGCCATGATTGCTTACGTTCTCAATAGACATGGCATTAAAAAAAGAAATATTTGTAGCCAGGTCGCTTACGTCCTCAATAGACATGGCATTAAAAAGAAAAGAATATTTGGGTAGTCAGGTCGGCACGTTTCAATGCCCCTATTAAAAAAAAAAAGAATATTTAGTATCAGGATTGCCACGTTCTCAATAGTAGACATGGCATTAAAAAAGAAAGAATATTTGGTAAGCCATGATTGGCTACGTTCTCAAAGAACATGGCATTAAAAAAGAAAGAATATTTGGTAGCAGGTCATTGCCTACGTTCTCAATAGACAAAGTATTAAAAGAAAGAATATTTGGATTGCCATATCGGCTAACGTTCTCAATAGACAAAGCATTAAAAAGAAAAGAATATTTGAGCAGTCAGGTTTACTACGTCCTCAATGGACAAAGTGAGGGAAAGAAAAGAATATGTGGGTAGCCATGATTGCTTACGTTCTCAATAGACAAAGCATTAAAAAAAAAATATTTCAGTAAAGGTAGTCATGATGGCATTAATAGAAAAATATTTGAGTAATCAGGTGCAACACCTCAATGAGAAAGGCATTAAAAAAAAGAATATGTGGGTAGCCATGTTGCTTACGTTCTCAATAGACAAAGCATTAAAAGAAAAGAATATTTGATTATAGTCAGGGTCGTCCTCAATGGCTACGTCCTCAATAGACATGGCATTAAAAAATGAAAAAGAATTTGAACAGGGTTGCCATGATTGCTTAAATTCTCACAGAAATGGCATTAAAAAGAAAAAATATTTAGCCATGATTGTAAAAGACATGGCATTAAAAAGAAAGACGGGTAGCCATGATTGCTACGTCCTCAGAACCATATCATTAAAAAAAAGAAAAGGAATATGTGGGTTTAGCCATGATTGTCGAACTCAATAGACAAAGTATTAAAAAGAAAAGAATATTTTAGTAAATGATTGGCTACGTCCTCAATAGACATGGCATTAAAAAAGAAAAGGAATATGTGAAAAGCCATGATTGCCAACGTTCTTAATAGACAAAGTATTAAAAAGAAAAAGAATATTTGAGTAATCAGGTTGGCTACGTCGGCAGGTGGCATAAAAAGAAAAAGAATGATTTCACATGCCAAATTGAAAGAATTTTGGGTAGTCTCCTCCATGAACCTTGAGATTGAAAGAAAGAATGAGAGTAGTCAGGTCGGCTACGTCATCAATGAACATGGTTTAAAAAGAATATGTAGGTAGCCATGATTGCTTACGTCCTCAACAGACAGAATAAAAAAAAATTTGAGGAAAACTCAGCTAGTCCTCAAAAGAGATGGGATTAAAAGAAAAATATGTGGGTAGCCATGAAAAAAGAAAGAATAGACAAAGTAAAAAAGAAAGAATATTTGGTAATCAGGTTGGCTAGTCCTCAACAGAAATGGCATTAAAAAGAAAGGAATATGTAGGTAGAAATGATTGCTTACGTTCTCAATAAACAAAGTAAGAAAAAAAGATAAGAATATTGAAAGTCAGGTGAAAGACTCAATAGACATAGCATTGAAAGAAAAAATATTTGGTGATCAAAGGCTCCGTCCTCAATAACATAGAAAAACAAAGGAATATGTGGGTGAACATGATTGGGACGTTCTCAATAACAAAGTAGTAAAAAGAAAAGAAAATTGAAATAAACAACGAAAAAGAAAACTCGTCCTCAATAAGACAGAAACAAAAAAGAAAGAATATGTGGGTTACGTTTTCCATGAAAGCTTAAGTATTTGAGTAGAAAGAAATGTAAGAAAGAAAATAAAGAAAGAAAGGTCGGCTATGTCCCTCAATAGAACATGGCATTAAAAAGAAAAGAATATTTGAGTATACATGTCGGCTACGTTTTCAATAGACATAGCATTAAAAAAGAAAGAAATTTAGAAAGTAGTCAGATTGCTTTGTTTTCAATAGACAAAGCATTAAAAAAGAAAGAAATATTTGGTACGTCAGGAAGAAAGAAAGAAAGAAATGTGAGAAAGTTTACAAGAAATAGAAAAAAGAAAAATATAAGGAAGGTAGTCAGGTGGGCTACGTCAATATACATGGCATTGAAAGAAAAGAATATTTGTGTAATCAGGTTTTTAATATCTCAATGTCTTTTTTCTAAAAAAGAATATTTTGAAGTCAGGTCTTCCTATTCTTGATAGACGTAGCAAAGAAAAAGAATATTTTGTGTCCCTTTACGTCCTCCCAATCTCCTGTTCTTAAAAAAGAAAAGAATATGTGGGGTAGTCATGCTGTTTTTTTCCTCAATTACCAAAGTAAGTAAAAAAAGAATATTTGAGTAGTCAGGTGGGCTACGTCTCCAAATACTATTCCCTCAAAAAGTCTCCTATTTGGTGGCAGGTTGGCTACGTTCTCAATAGACAAAGTTTAAAACAAAAGAATATGTGGTAACCCCTGATTGATACGTTCTCAATGGATTGGTTTTAAAAAGTCCAATATTTGAAGTATTCAGGTCGGCTTTCGTCCTCAATAGACCTTAGCATTAAAAAAAAAGAATATGTGGGTATTGATGATTTAAGAAACTCAATAAACAAAGCATTAAAAAAAAAAAAAATATTTAGGGGAGAGGTCGGCTACGTCCTCCAATAGACATGGCATTAAAAGAAAAGAATATTTGGTATAGGTCGATGATTGCATTAAAAAGAAAAAAGAAATAAACAATAAAAAAAAAATAGAAAGAATATTGTCCGGTCAATAAAAAATCAATGACATTGCATTAAAAGAAAAAGAATATTTGAAAGAAAGGCAAAAAGAAAGAAGCTAAGAAAGAAATAAAAGAAAGCATTAAAAAAGAAAGAATATTAAGTGGGTAGCCAGAAAGAAAGAAACAATAGAACAAACATTAAAAAAAAAATATTTGAGTAATCAGAAAGCCCAGAAAAAGAATGAAAGAAAAGAAAGAAAGAATATTGTGGTAGTCAGGTGGGCTAAAGAAAGGCATTAAAAAAGAAAGGAATATGTGGGGAACCATGATTATTTATATTCTCAATAGACAAAGTAAGAAAAAAGAAAAAGAATATTTGGAGTAATCAGGTGGAAAGAAAGAAACAATTGACATGGCATTAAAAAAAAAAAGAATATTTAGTAATCAGAAAGGCTACATCCTCAAAGACAGGCATTAAAAAAAAGAATATTTGAGTAGTCATGTGGGCTACGTCCTCACAAACAAACAAACAAAAAAAAAGAAATATTTGTGAGGGAACCAATGAAAGAAAAAAAGAAAGAATATTTGAATAGAAAGGGCTATTAAAAAGAAAGAAATATTTGAAAGAAAAAGGTGGGCTACATCCTCCAATTGACATGGCATTAAAAAAAAAATATTTGAAGTCAGGTGGGCTACATCCTCTCCAATTGACATAGCATTAAAAGAAAAGAATATTTGAGTAGTCAGGTGGGCCACGTCCTCAATGAACATGAAATAAAGGAAAAAGAATATTTGAAGGAAGTCAAGAGGCTAAAGAAAGAACATGGCATTAAAAAGAAAGAATATTTGAGATCAAAGGGCTACGTCCTCAATGAAGGAAGAAAAAAAAGAAAGAATATCAGGTGGGCTAATCCTCAATGAACATGAAATAAAGAAAAAATATTTGAAGGAAGGTGGGCCCGTCCTCAATGGTAAGAAAAAGAAAAGAATATTTGAGTAGTCAGGTGGGCTACGTCCTCAGTATACATGGCATTAAAAAAAGAAAAGGAATATTTGGGTAGTCATGTGGGTTTACATTCTCAATGAACAAAGTATTAAAAAGAAAAAGAATATTTGATATTTGGGCTACATCCAAATATACATGTTAAAAAGGCTACGTCCTCTAATCCTCAATGAACATGGCATTAAAAGAAAAAGAATATTTGAGAGTAGTCAGGTGGGCTACGTCCTCAATGACATGTAATTAAAAGAAAAGAATATTTGGTAGTCAGGTATACATGGCCAAAAAGAAAGAATATTTGAGACATGGCACGTCCTCAAATTAAAAAAAGAATATTTGAGTAGTCAGGTGGGCTACATCCTCAATGAACATATGGCATTAAAAAGAAAGGAATATGAGTAGTCATGGCCCACGTCCTTACATTCTCAAAAAGATATTTGAGACAAAGTATTAAAAACATGAATATTTTTGAGTAATCAAGGTGTTCTTTCACGTCCTCAATATACATGGCATTAAAAGAAAAAAGAATGTTTGGTGATCAGGTGGGCTACGTCCTCAATGAACATGGCATTAAAAAGAAAAGAATATTTGAGTAGTCAGGTGGGCTACGTCCTCAATAGACATATGGCATTAAAGAAAAAGAATATTGAGTAGTCAGGTGGGCTACGTCCTTGTCATGGCATTAAAAGAAAGAAAGATATTTGGTTGTCAAATTGGGCTACATCCTCAATAGACATGGCATTAAAAAGAAAAGATATTTAGAGTAGTCCAGGTGGGCCGACCTCCTCGATAGAACAGCATTAAAGAAAAAAATATTTGAGTAGTCAGGTGGGCTACGTCCTTAATAGCATTAAAAGAAAAAAATATTGAGTAGTCATGTTGTTTACATTCTCAATGAACAAAGTATTAAAAAGAAAATAATATTTGAGAGTCAGGTGGGCTACGTCCTCAATGAACATGGCATTAAAAAGAAAAGAATATTTGAGTAGCAATGATTGTTTACATTCACAATGAACAAAGCATTAAAAAAGAAAAGAATATTTGTGTAGTCAGGTGGGCCACGTCCTCAATAGACATGGCATTAAAAAAAAAGAATATTTGAGTAGTCAGGTGGGCTACGTCCTTATTATATGGCATTAAAAAGAAAAGGAATATGTGGGGAACCATGATTGTTTACATTCTCCAATAGACAAAGTATTAAAAAAGAAAAAGAATATTTGAGTAGTCCAGGTGGCTACATCCTCAATAGACAGCATTAAAAGAAAAGAATATTTTGGTAGTCCAGGTGGGCTACGTCCTCAATAGACATGTAGCATTAAAAAAAAAGAATATTTGAGTAGTCAAGATTGGCTACGTTCTCAATATACAAAGCATTAAAAGAAATAATATGTAGTAGTCATGGTTGGCTATATTCTCAATAGACAAGTATTAAAAAGAAAATGAATGCAATGATTGTTGGAGCTACATTCTCAATGACATGGCATTAAAAAGAAGAATATTTAATGTGATCAATTGGGCCCACATCCTCAATAGACATAGCATTAAAAGAAAGAATTTGAGTAGTCAAATTGGGCTACGTCAGCAATATATGGCATTAAAAAAAAAAGGAATATGTGGGAACCATGATTGTTTATATTCTCAATAGACAAAGTATTAAAAAAGAAAAGAATATTTGAGTAGTCAGGTGGGCCATCCTCAATAGACATAGCATTAAAAAAAAGAATATTTGAGTAGTCAGGTGGGCTACGTCGTCAATATGCATAGCATTAAAAAAAGAATATTTGAAACATGATTGTTTATATTCTCAATATACATGGCATTAAAAAAGAGAAAGGATTTGAAACCATGATTGGCTACATCCTCAATAGACAAAAGTATTAAAAAAAGAAAAGAATATTTGAGTAGTCAGGTGGGCTACATCCTCAATAAACATAGCATTAAAAAGAAAGAATATTTGGTAGTCAGGTGGGCCCAGTCCTCAATAGACATAGCATTAAAAAAGAAAGGAAGGCGTCCGGGTAGGCTAATATATTCTATTTAAAAGAAAGGAATATGTAGGGACCATGATTGTTTATATTCTCAATAGACAAAGTATTAAAAGAAAAAGAATATTTGGAAGTAGTCAGGTGGGCCACGTCCTCAATATACAAAACAAAAAAAGAAAGTCAGGAATATGTGGCATTAAAAGAACCATGATTGTTTATATTCTCAATAGACAAAGTATTAAAAAGAAAAGAATATTTGAGGTAATCAGAGGCTACATCCTCAATAGACATAGCATTAAAAGAAAAGAATATTTGAGTAGTCAGGTGGGCCACGTCCTCAGTGAACATGGCATTAAAGAAAAGAATATTTGGGAAGTAGTCAGGTGGGCTTCGTCCTTAATATACCTTGGCATTAAAAGAAAAGGAATATGTGAGTAACAATGATTGTTTATATTCTCAATAGACAAAGTATTAAAAAGAAAAGAATATTTGAGGTAGTCAGGTGGGCCACGTCCTCGATGTATGGCATTAAAGAAAAGCAATAAAAGGGAACCATGATTGTTTAATATTTTAAAGTCAAAATTTTGGGCTAATTATCATCCTATCATGGCATTAAAAGAAAGGAATATTTGTGGGTCAGGGTTGTTTACATTCTCAATAGACAAAGTATTAAAAGAAAGAATATTTGAGTGATCGGGTGGGCTACGTCCCTTGATATACATGGCATTAAAAAAGAAAGGAATATGTGGGTACTGTGATTGTTTACATTCTCAATAGACAAAGTATTAAAAAAAAAAAGAATATTTGAGTGGTCAAGGGGCCACGTCCTCAATAGACATGGCATTAAAAGAAAAAGAATATTTGAGTTGTCGAATTGGGCTACGTCCTTGAAATATACATGGCATTAAAAAGAAAAGGAATATGTGGGTAGCTATGATTGTTTATTCTCAATGAACAAAGTATTAAAAAAGAATATTTGAGTGATCAGGTCGGCTACGTCCTCAGTATACATGGCATTAAAAAAAAGAATATTGAGTAGTCATGATTGTTTACATTCTCCATAGACAAAGCATTAAAAAAAAAGAATATTTGAGTGAATCAGGTCAGCTACGTCCTCAATGAACATGGCATTAAAAGAAAAGAATATGTGGAGTTGTCATGATTTGCTACGTTCTCAATAGACAAAGCATTAAAAAGAAAGGAATATTTGGGTAGCTATAGTTGCTAACGTTCTCAATAGACAAGGAATAAAAAAGAAAAGAATATTTGGGTAATCATGATTGTTACATCCTCAATAGACAAAGTATTAAAAAGAAAAAAGAATATTTGAGTAGTCAGGTGGGCTACGTCCTCAATATACATGGCATTAAAAAAGAAAGGAATATTTGAGTAGTCAGGTCAGCTACATTCTCAATAGACAAAGTGATAAAAAAAAAATATGTGAGTAGCTATGGTTGGCTACGTTTATCAATAGACAAGGCATTAAAAAGAAAGGAATATTTGGGTATCCAATGATTGCTTACGTTCACAATAGACAAGGAATTAAAAAAAAAAGGAACATGTAGGTAGCAATGATTGTTTACGTTCTCTCAATAGACAAAGCATTAAAAAAGAAAAGAATATTTGAGTAGATCAGGTGAAGGCTACGTCAGCAATATATGGCATTAAAAAGAAAGGAATATGTGGGTAGCAATGATTGTTTACATACTCAATAGACAAAGTGTATTAAAAGAAAAAAGAATATTTGAGTGATCCAGGTGGGCTACGTCCTCAATGAACGTAGCATTAAAAAGAAAGAATATTTGTAATGATTGTTTACATTCAAATAGACAAAGTGGGCCCACGTCCTCAATGAACTTATCGGCATTAAAAAGAAAAAAAGAATATTTGAGTAGTCAGGTGGGCTACGTCTCAAGGGGATACATGTTATTAAAAAGAAAGGAATGTGGAGAGATATGATTGTTTATATTCTCAATAGACAAGTATTAAAAAAGAAAAAGAAATATTTGAGTAGTCAGGTGGGCTACATCCTCAATAGACATGGCATTAAAAGAAAGAATATTTGAGTAGTCAGGTCGGCCACATCCTCAATGAACATGGCATTAAAAGAAAGAATGGCCCCGGATATTTGGGCCGTCCTTGATATCATAGCATTGCTTACGTTGTTATATTCTCAATAGACAAAGAATTAAAAGAAAAAATATTTGGGGGAATCAGGATTACTTACGTTCTCAATAGACAAAAAGTTAAAAAGAAAAGAATATTTGAGTAGTCAGGTTGGCTACATCCTTAATAAAAGATGGAATATTAAAAAGAATTCTCAATAGAATATGTGGGTAAAGAATATTTGATTATTTATTCAATCCTCAATAGACATTAAAAAGAAAAGAATATTTGAGTAGTCAGGTGGGCTACGTCCTCAATATACATGGCATTAAAAAAGAAAAGAATATGTGGGTAGTCATGATTGGCTACGTCCTCAATAGACAAAGCATTAAAAAGAAAAAGGAATATTTGTAGTCATGACTGCCACGTTCTCAATAGACAAAGTATTAAAAGAAAAGAATATTTGAGTAGTCAGGTGGGCATTGCGTCCTCAATAAAAACAAATGGCATTGAATATATTCTCAATGAAAAAGTAAAAAAGAAAGAATATTTGAGTAGTCAGGTGGGCTACATCCTCAATGAACATGGCATTAAAAAAAAGAATATTTGAGTCGGGTGTCAGGTCTCAGTAGACGTCCTCAGGTATAATACATGGCATTAAAAAGAAAGGAATATGTGGGTGAGTTGTTTATATTATTGGCTTTTACGTATTTGAACAGTCAGATGGAACATTAAAAAGAAAAGAATATTTAGTAGTCATGGTGGGCCACGTCTCAATAGACATGACATTAAAAGAAAGAATATTTGAAAGTAGTCAAGTTGGGCTACGTTCTTAATAGATGGCATTAAAAGAAAGGAATATGTGGGAACCATGATTGTTTATATTTTCAATAGACAAAGTATTAAAAAAAAAAGAATTTGAGTAGTCAGGTCATTACGTCCTCAATAGACATGGCATTAAAAGAAAAAGAATATTTGAGTAGTCAAAATCAGCTACGTCCTCCATATAGATGGCATTAAAAAAAAAAGGAATATTTGGGTAGCCATGATGGTTTACGTTCTCAATAGACAAAGTATTAAAAAAAAAATATTTGAGTACCAGGTCAGGCTAGGTCCTCAATAGACATGGCATTAAAAAGAAAGGAATATGTTGGTAGTCAGGTTGGATACATCCTCAATAGACAAGTGGCATTAAAAAGAAAATACGTCCTCAATAGAGACATAAAATCAAAAGAAAATTTGAGTTGTCAGGTACGTCCTCAATAGACGCATTAAAAGAAAAGTATTGATTGTTAAAACAAAGTAAAAAAGAATAAAGAATGATTTAGTAGGATTAGCATTGAAAGAAAAGAATATTTGTCCTCAATGAACATGGCATTAAAAAAGAATATTTGAGAATATTCCAATTGGCTACGTCCTCAAGAGACATGGTATTAAAAAAAAAGGAATATGTGGGTAGATATCGATTCGTTTACGTTCTCATAGACAAAGTATTAAAAAAGAAAAATATTTGAGTAGTCAGGTGGGCTACGTCCCCAATGAACATGGCATTAAAAAAGAAAGGAATATTTGGGTAGCAATGATTGTTTACATTCTCAATAGACAAAGTATTAAAAAAAAAAAAAGAATATTTGAGTAATCAGGTCGGCTACGTCCTCAATAGACATAGGTAGTAAAAAAGAAAAGAATATTTATGATTGCTTAGTTGTCAATAGACAAGTGGGCTGATCGGGTGGGCTACGTCCTTGATATAGACATTAAAAAGACAATATGTGGGTAAAATGATTACTTGATCTCAATAACAAAGTATTAAAAAGAAAAGATTTGAGTAGTCAGGTGGGCTACGTCCTCAATATGACAATGATTGTTTATTCTCAAAAAAAATGAAAAAAGAATATTTGAGTAGTCAGGTGGGCTACGTCCTCCAATGAACATGGCATTAAAAAAAGAATATTTGGTAATCAGGTGGGCCCGTCCTCAATAGACAAAGTATTAAAAAAAAAAGAATATTTTAGTAATCAGTGATTGGCTACGTCCTCAATAGACAAAGCATTAAAAGAAAAGAATATTTGAGTAGTCAGGTCGGGCTTTAAAAGTCCTCAGATATGTAGGGAGACTATGGCATTGAAAAATTAAAAGAATATTTGAGTAGTCAGGTCAGCTACGTCCTCAATAGACATGGTATTAAAAAAAATATTTGAAAAGTGTATTATGTAGGTAGTCATTTAATACGTTCTCAATAGACAAAGTATTAAAAAAAGAAAAGGAAGTCATGTGGGCTACGTCCTCAATGGACATGGCATTGAAAAAAAGAAAAGGAATTGGGTAGTACGTTCTCAATAGACAAAGTATTAAAAAGAAAGAATATTTTAGTAAAGGTCGGCTACGTCCTCAATATACATATATGTGGGTAATGATTGTTTGTTCTCAATAGACAAAGTATTAAAAAGAATATTTGAGTAGTCAGGTGGGCTAGTCCTCAATAGGTCGAATATTTGAGTAGTCAGGTGGGCCCACCCTCAAATAGACATGGCAATAAAAGAATATTTGAGTAATCATTTGGGTACGTCCTCCAAGATAATGCTTACGGTTCTCATGGGTAGCTAAAGCATTAAAAAGAAAAGTATATTTGAGTAGTCAGGTCGGCTACATCCTCAATAGACATGGCATTTAAAAAAAGAAAGGAATATTTGGGTAGCTATGATTGCTTACGTTCTCAACAGACAAAAGTATTAAAAAAGAAAAGTATATTTGAAAGTATTCAGGTCATACGTCCTCAATGAGCAATGTACGTTCTCAATATGTGGGTAGACAAAGTAAAAAGAAAGAATTGGGCATCCTCCAAAACATGGCATTGAAAAGAATATGTTAGATTAGTTAGGTCAGCTACGTCCTCAATAGACATGGCATTAAAAGAAAAAAATATTTGAGTAAATCAGGTCGGCTATGTCCTCAAGAGACATGGTATTAAAAAGAAAGGAAGATGTAAGTATGAGTTGCTTACATTCTCAATAGACAAAGTATTAAAAAAGTATTTGGAAGTAATTGATCAGGTGGAGCTACATCCTCAATGAACATGGCATTAAAAAAAGAAATTTGAGTAGTCCGGTTGGGCCACGTCCTCAATGGGCATAGCATTAAAAAGAAAAGAAAATTTGGTAATCAGGTGGGCCCCTCAAAGACATGGCATTAAAAAGAAAAGAATATGGGTAGCCATGATTGCTTACGTCTCAATGAACAAAGTATTAAAGAAAAAGAATATTTGAGTGATCAGGTGAATACGTCCTCAATGAACATGGCATTGAAAAAAAGAATATGTGAAATCATGATTGTTAGCCTCAATAGACATGATTGCGCCTCAAAGAATATTTGTGTAGTCAGGTGGTGCTTCTGATTGCTCAAACAAAGTAACAAGTTAAAAGAAAGAATATTTGAGTAGTCAGGTGGGCTACATCCTCAATGAACATGGCATTGAAAAAGAAAGAATGAATATAGATTGGGTCCGCTATATCCTCAATGACATGGCATTAAAAGAAGGAATGTTGGATAATCAATTCAGTACAATCCTCAAAGACACATGGCATTAAAAGAAAAAAAAATATTTGAAGTTGTCAGGGTGGCTATGTCCTCAATAGACATGGCATTAAAAAAGAATATTTGAAAGAACGTCCTCAAATTTGGCATTAAAAAGAAAAATATGTGTGGGAACCATGATTGTTTATATTCTCAATAGACAAAGTATTAAAAGAAAAAGAATATTTGAGTAGTCAGGTGTAGCCTCAATAGACAGGCATTAAAAAGAAAAATGTTCTCATTGTTTGCCTCCTAGACAAAGTATTAAAAAAAAAGAATATTTGAGTAGTCAGGTGGGGCTACGTCCTCAGTAAAACATGGCATTAAAAGAAAAGGAATATGTGGGGAACCGATTGTTTATATTCTCAATGGTATTAAAAAAAGAAAAGAATATTTGAGTAGTCAGGTGGGCCACATCCTCAATTAGACATGGCATTAAAACAAAAGAATATTTGTGTGTCAGGTGGGCTACGTCCTTATGGCATTAAAAAGAAAAGAATATGTGGGGAACCATGATTGTTTATATTCTCAATAGACAAAGTATTAAAAAGAAAAGAATATTTGAGTAGTCAATTGGCTACATCCTCAATAGAACATGGCATTAAAAAGAAAGAATATTTGAGTAGTCCATGATTGCCACGTCCTCAATAGACATGGCATTAAAAAGAAAAGAATATTTGAGTAATCAGGTGGGCTACGTCCTTAATATACATGGCATTAAAAAAAGAAAGGAATATGTGGGACCATGATTGTTTATATTCTCAATAGACAAAGTATTAAAAGAAAAAGAATATTTGAGTAGTCAATTCGGCTACGTCCTCAATAGACATGGCATTAAAATAAAAAGAATATTTGGGTAGTCATGTCATTGTTTATATTCTCAATGAACATGGCATTAAAAAAGAAAGAATTTAGTATGATTGGATTACCATCCTCAATAGACATGGCATTAAAAAAAGAAATTTGGGAACCATTTGGGCATTATCAGTCAAAGTATTAAAAAAGAATTTGAGTAGTCAAATGGGCTACATCATTTAGACATGGCATTAAAGAAAGAATATTTGAGTGAATTAGGTCAACTACGTCTCAATGACATGCCATTAAAAAAGAAAGGGAATATTTAAACATGATTGTTTATATTCTCAATGACATAGTATTAAAAGAAAAGAAGATTTGGGTAGTCAGGTGGGCTTCGTCCTCAATAGACATGGCATTAAAAGAAAGTATGTTGGGAAATCAGGATTGGGCCACGTCCTCAATAGACATGGCATTCAAAAAAAAAAAGGAAAGAATATTTGAGTAGTCAGGTGGGCGTCCTCAATGGTCATGGCATTAAAAAAAAAAAAAGGAATATTTGGGGGAGTCATGATTCTTTTATATTCTCAATAGACAAAGCATTAAAAAAAAAATATTTGAGTGGTCAATTGGTTACGTCCTTAATATACATATGGCATTAAAAAAAATAATATATGGGGGTGATTTTATATTCTCAATGACAAATGGCAAAGAAAAGAATATTTGGAAGTATCAGGTCGGCTACATCCTCAATAGACATAGCATTAAAAAGAATATTTGTGGGTAGTCAAATTGGGCCCAGTTGTCACGTTCATGGCGTTAAAAGACAAATGTTGAGTCGGGCATCCTCAATGAACAGGCATTGAAAAAAAAGAATATTTGATTGGTTAGTCAGGTCACTCAGCTACGTCCTCAAAAGACATATTTAAGTAATCGGTCGGCTAAAATACTCAAGAACATAAAAAAAAAGGAAAGGATGTGGGGTAGTCATGATTGCTTACGTTCTCAATAGACAAAGTATTAAAAAGAAAGAATATGTGGGAACCATGATTGGCTACGTTCTCAATAGACATGGCATTAAAAATAAAAAGAATATTTGGGTAGCCAAGGTTGGCTACATCCTCAATAGACATGGCATTAAAATAAAAGAAATATTTGAGTAGTCAGGTCGGGCTACGTCCTCAATAGACATGGCATTAAAAAAAAAAGGAATATGTGTATGCCTCAATAGACAAAAGTATTAAAAGAAAAGAATATTTGAGTAGTCAGGTGGGCTACGTCCTCAATAGACATGGCATTGAAAGAAAAGAATATGTTGGTAGCCATGATCGACGAACTACGTCCTCAATAGACATGGCATTAAAAGAAAGTATATTTAACGGGTAATCAGGTCATGCTACATCCTCAAAGGCATTAAAAAGAAAGGAATATGTGGGTAGCTATGATTGCTTACATTCTCAATAACAAAGACATGGCATTAAAAAAAAAAGAATGTTTGGTAGTCAGGTTTGGCTACGTTCTTGACAGACATGGCATTAAAAGAAAATAATGTTGGGTAGTCAAGGATTGGGCTACGTCCTCCAATAGTCATGGCATTAAAAAGAAAGGAATATGTGGGTAGCCATGATTTAGCACGTTCTCACAGACAAAGTATTAAAAAAAAAAGAATATTTGAATGGGCCATCCTCAATGAACGTAGCATTGAAAATAAAAAGAATATTTGAGTAGTCAAGGTCCGTCCTCAATGAACATGGTAAAAAAAAGAAAACATGTGGGTATGATTTGTACGTTCTCCATGAACGCTGGCATTAAAAAAATATTTTGAGTCAGGTCGGCTACGTCCTCAATGACATGGCATTAAAAAAAGAAAAGTAATATGTGGGTAGCCATGATTGCTTTGATTCTCAATGAACATGGCATTAAAAAAAAAAGAATATTTGGGTAATCAAGGTTGCTACGTCCTCAATAGACATAGCATTAAAAAGAAGAATATTTGAGTAGTCTATGATTGACTACGTTCTCAATGAACAAAGCATTAAAAAAGAAAGGGAATTTGGAAGTAATCAGTTGACTACGTCCTCAGAGACATGGTATTAAAAAATATGTGGTGGCTATGATTATTACGTTTCAATAGACAAAAAGTAAAAAAGTCAGGTTATTTACGTCCTCAATGTCCTTAATATCGGTGTTAAAACAAAAGGAATATGTGGGTATTGCCATTTATTTGCTATTAAAGTATTTTAATAGACAAAGTACATCCTAAAAAATGAAAAGAATATTTGGTGGCAATCAGGTGGGCCAATAGACAAAGTCCTAAAAAGAATATTGGACATGGCATTGATAGACATAGCAAAAGAATATTTGAGTGATAGTCCAGGTGCATTACGTCCTCAATGAACATGGCATTAAAAAAAAGGAATATTTGGGTAGTCAGGTTAACTACGTCCTCAACAGACATGGCATTAAAAAAAAAAATATTTGAGTCGTCAGGTCGGCTACGTCCTCAATAGGCGCAGGATTTAAAAGAAAGGAATATGTGGGTATACATGATTGCTTACATTCTCAATGAACAAAAGAATTAAAAAAAAAGAATATTTGGGTAATCAGGGCGGCTACGTCTCAATACACATGGTATTAATGAAAAGAATATTTAGTAGCCCTATGTTGGCTATCACTCAATAGATAAGTGGTTAAAAAGAAAAGAATATTTGGGTAGCCATGATTGCGTCCTCAATGAACAAAGTATTAAAAGAAAAGAATGTTGTAGTGTCAGGTCATTACGTCCTCAATGAACATGTGGCATTGAAAAAAGAATATTTGAGTAGTCAGGTCAGCTACGTCCTCCAAAGAACCATGGCATTAAAAAGGAATATGTGGGTAGCCATGACACTTACGTTCTCAATAGACTAAGTATTAAAAGAAAAAATATTTGAGTAATCAGGTGGGCTAGGTCCTCAATAGACATGGCATTGAAATAAAAGAATATTTTGGTAGTCAGGTCATTTACCTCCTCAATGAACATGGCATTAAAAAAAGAAAAGAATATTTGAGAGTTGTCAGGTCGGCTACGTCCTCAATGAACGTGGCATTAAAAAGAAAGGAATAATAATGGGTAATATGATTGCTTACGTTCTCAATGAACAAAATATTAAAAAAAGAATGTTTGAAGTAGTCAGGTTGGCTACATCCTCAATGAACATAGCATTAAAAAAAAGAAGAATATTTTGAGAGTAGTCGGTCAGCTACGTCCTCAATAGCCTTGGCATTAAAAAAAGAAATATTTGGGGAATCAGGTCCCAGCTACGTTTTCAATGGGAACATGGCATTCAAAAAAACCCAATATGTCCGGTCCATGCTACGTCCTCAATGAACAAAGCATTAAAAAGGAAAGAATGTTTTGAGTAAGTCAGGTCAGCTGTCCTCAATAAGAACATGGCATTAAAAAAGAATGTTTGATATTGGGTCCTTCGTCCTCAATAGACATGGCATTAAAAGAAAAGAATATTTAAGTAATCAGGTCGATGCTACGTTTCAATGACATGGCATTAAAAAAGAAAAAATATTTGATTGTACGTCAATAGTCGGCTGTTTGTTGTCGTCCTCAATAGACATGGCATTAAAAAGGAAAAGAATATTTGAGTGTCAGGTCCGGCTACGTCCTCAATAGACATGGCATTAAAAAAAAGGAATATTTGGTGGAATACGTCACTTGGTAGCCATTAAAGTTTTGCTTACGTTCCTCAATAAACATGGCATTAAAAGAAAAATATTTGATAGTCAGGTCGGTTAGCCTCAATGATTGCTTACGTTCTCAGTAGTCAAAGTATTAAAACATGAAAAGAATATTTGTGTAATCAGGTCGGCTACGTCCTCAATAGACATGGCATTAAAAAGAAAAAAGAAAGTAATATGTGTAGCCATGATTGCTTACGTTCTCAATAGACAAAAGTATTAAAAAGAAAAGAATATTTGGTGAACAGATTGCTTACGTCCTCAATAAACATGGCATTAAAAGAAAGGAATATTTGGGTAGCCATGATTGCTTACGTTCTCAATAGACCAAAGCATTAAAAAAAGAAAAGAATATTTGAGTATTCAGGGTGGCTATGTCCTCAATAGACATGGCATTAAAAGAAAAGAATATTTGTTAATCATGTCGGTAGCCCTCGATTGCTTATTACCTCAATAGACATGGCATTAAAAAAGAAAAAATATTTGAGTGATCAGATTGCTTACGTGTCCTCAATAGACATGGCGTTAAAAAAGAAAAAATATTTGGGTAGTCAGGTTCGGCTACATCCTCAATGAACATGGCATTAAAAAGAAAGAGAGAATAAAGTTCATTTCTCAATAGAAAATGGCATTAAAAAGAAAAAGATATTTGGGTAGTCAGGTTCGGCTACGTCCTCAATAGACAAAGGAATATTAAAAAAGAAAGTATTTGAGTAGTCAGGTCAGCTACGTCCTCCAATGATTAAAAAAGCTATGTGTGTAGCCATGATTGCTTACGTTCTCAATGAACAAAGTATTAAAAAAAAAATATTTGAAGTATGATTAGGTCGGCTACGTCCTCAATAAACATGGCATTAAAAAGAAAGGAATATGTGGGTAGCCATGATTGCTTACGTTTTCATAGACATGGCATTAAAAGAAAAAAATATTTGAGTATTCAGGTCATTATGTCCTCAATAGACATGGCGTTAAAAAAGAAAGAAAATATGTGGGTAGTCCTCGATGACTTGGCATGAGGTCCTCAATGAACATGGCATTAAAAAGAAATGATTTGAACCCGGTTCGGCTCAATGAACATTATTAAAAAAAAGTATTTATGAGTAGGGTAGTCCTCAATAGACAAAGGCAATAAAAGAAAAAAGAATATTTGGTAATCAGGTCGACTATGGCCTCAATTAAAAAAAAGGAATATGTGGTAGCCATGATTGCTTGCGTTCTCAATGAATAAGTATTAAAAGAAAAGAATATTTGAGTAGTCAGGTCGGCTACGTGTCCTCAATGACATGGCATTAAAAAGAAAGGAATATGTGGGTAGCCATGATTGCTTACGTTCTCAATAGACATGGCATTAAAAAGAAAAAAAATATGTATTTAATGATGATTGCTTACGTCCTCATATTTACGTCCTCAGGCATTAAAAAAAGAAAGAATATGTGGGTAGCCATGATTTAGCTAACGTTCTCAATAGACAAATTATTAAAAAAAGAATATTTGAGTAGTCATGATTGCTACGTCCTCAAAAGACATGGCATTAAAAAGAAAGTAATATTTGGGTAGCCATGATTGCTTACGTTCTCAATAGACATGGCATTAAAAAGAAAAAGTGTAGTGATTGTAGCCATGATTGCTTAAAGTTCTCAATAGACATGGCATTAAAAAGAAAGGAATATGTGGGTAGCCATGATTGCTTACGTTCTCAATACATGGCATTAAAAAGAAAGTAATATGTGGGTAGCCAGATCATTAACTTACGTTCTCAATAGACATGGCATTAAAAAAAAGCAATATGTGGGCAGCCATGATTGCTTAACGTTCTCAATAGACATGGCATTAAAAGAAAATATATGTGGGTAGCCATGATTGCTTATGTCCTCAATAGACAAAGCATTAAAAAGAAATATTTGGTAACCAGGTCGATTGCCACACGTTCTCAATAGACATGGCATTAAAAAGAAAGTATATGTGGGTAGCCATGATTGTTACGTTCTCAATAGACATGGCATTAAAAGAAAGTATATGTGGGTAGCCATGATTGCTTACGTTCTCAATAGACATGGCATTAAAAAAGAAAATAATATGTGGGTAGCCATGATTACTGCTGTTCTCAATAGACAAAAGTATTAAAAAAAAGAAAAGAATATTTATTCCTCAATAGACGTCAGGTGGAGTATACGGCTACGTCCTCAATATAGACATGGCATTAAAAGAAAGTAATATGTGGGTAGCCATGATTGCTTACGTTCTCAATAGACATGGCATTAAAAAGAAAGTAAATGTGGGTAGCCATGATTGCTTACGTTCTCAATGACATGGCATTAAAAAAGAAAGTAATATGTATAGCCATGATTGTTCTCAATAGACATGGCATTAAAAAAGAAAGTAATATGTGGGTAGCCATGATTACTTGCTCAATAGACAAAAGTATTAAAAAGAAAAGTAATATGTGGGTATCCATGATTGCTTACGTTCTCAATAGACAAAGTATTAAAGAAAAAGAATATTTGTGTATCAGGTCAGCTACGTCCTCAATGAACATGGCATGAAAAAGAAAGTATATATGGGTAGCCATGATTTATACGTTCTCAATAGACATGGCATTAAAGAAAGTAAAATGTGGGTAGCCATGATTGCTTACGTTCTCAATGAACGTAGCATTAAAAAGAAAGTAATATGTGGGTATGCATGATTGCTTACGTTCTCAATAGACAAAGTATTAAAAAAGAAAAGAATATTTTAGCCATCGATTGCTTACGTTCTCAATAGACATGGCATTAAAAAGAAAGGAATATTTGGGTAGGTAATCGGGTCAGCTACGTTCTCAATAGACAAAGCATTAAAAAAGAAAGGAATATGTGGGTAGCCATGTCCGCTTACGTTTCAATGGGTATAGCATGAAAAAAAAATAGTGAAATGTGGGTAGTCGGTCGGCTACGTCCTCAATAGACATGGCATTCAAAGAAAAGTAATATGTCAGGTCAGCCATGATTGCGTTCTCAATAGACATGGCATTAAAAAGAAATGAATATGTGGTAGCCATGATTGCTTACGTTCTCAATAGACATGGCATTAAAAAAGAAAAGAATATGTGAGTATACATGATTGGGTATGGCATTAAAAGAAAAGTTCTATAAATGAACGCTGACATTAAAGAAAAAAGAATATTTGGGTAGTCATGTCTGCTTACGTTCTCAATAGACATGGCATTAAAAAAAAGAATATAATGATTAACATCTTAATAGACATGATATTTGAGTAATCAGGTCGGCCACGTTCTCAAGGTCAGCTACGTCCTCGATAGACATGGCAAAAAGAAATGAATATATGGGTAGCCATGATTGCTTATGTTCTCAATAGACATGGCATTAAAAAAAAAATATTTGATATTTGTCCTCAATAACATAGCATTCAAAGAAAAGAATTTTGAGTACTCAGGTCAGCTACGTCCTCAATGACATGGCATTAAAAAAAAAATGAATATGTGGGTAGCCATGATTGTACGTTCTCAATAGACATGGCATTAAAAAAAGAAAGTGAATATGTGAGTCCTCGATAAACCATTTCAAAAAGATTTTGTCAGGTCGGCTACGTTCTCAATAGTCATAACGCATTAAAAAAGAAATGAATATGTGGGTATACAGTTGCTTACGTTCTCAATAGACAAAGCATTAAAAAAAGAAAAAAAAAATATTTGTGTGATCAGGTCGGCTACGTCCTCAATGAACATAGCATGAAAAAAAGAATATATATGTGTCATAGCCAATAGACATTTAAAAGAAATGTTCTCAATTGTACGTTCTCAATAAAAGCATTTAAAAGAAAAGAATATTTGATAGTCATAATGGGTAACCATTCAAAGAAAAGAATATTTGAGTACTCAGGTCAGCTACGTCCTCAATAGACATGGCATTAAAAAGAAAATAATATGTGGGTAGCCATGATTGCTTACGTTCTCAATAGACATGGCATTAAAAAAGAATATTTGATGAATCATGTCGGTAGCCATGATTGCCCGATTCTCAATAGACAAAGCATTAAAAAGAAAATGTATTTGGGTATCAGGTGGCCACGTCCTCAATGAACATGGCATTAAAAACTCAATAGATAAAGTATTAAAAAGAAAGGAATATGTGGGTCAATCATTGGTTTACGTTCTCAATAGACAAAATATTTGAAAGTAATAGTCCAGGTGGGCTAGCCAATGATTGGCATTAAAGAAAAGAATATTTGGTAGTCCAGGTGGGCCATCCTCAATGAACATGGCATTAAAAGAAAAGAATATAACGGGTAACCAGGTTGGCTACGTTCTCAATAGACATGGCATTAAAAAAAAAAGAATATGTGGTAGTCATGTTGTTTACGTTCTCAATAGACATGGCATTAAAAAAAGAAAAAGAATATTTGAGGTAGTCAGGTCATGCTACGTCCTCAATAGACATGGCATTAAAAAAAGAATATGTGGGTAGCCATGATTGTTACATTCTCAATAAACAAAGCATTAAAAAGAAAAGAATGTTTGAGTGATCAAGGTGGGCCGATAGCCATTAAAAAGAAAAAGAATATTTGAAATGATCAGGTGGGCTAAGTCCTTAATATCATGGCATTAAAAAAAAGTAATATGTGGGTAGCCATGATTGTTTACATTCTCAATGAACAAAAGTATTAAAAAAAGAAAAGAATATTTGAGTTAAAGAAAAGTCAGGTCCTTCATCCTCAATGAACATGGCATTAAAACAAGAAAAGTAATATTTTCTCTAGTCGTATTAAAAGATTTTGGTATTCGTTCTCAATAGACATGGCATTAAAAAAAAAAAAATATTTGGTAATCATGATTGGGCTACGTCCTCAATATACATGGCATTAAAAGAAAGGAATATGTGAGGTAGCCATGATTGCTTTACGTTCTCAATAGACAAGTATTAAAAAAGAAAAAGAATATTTGAGTAGTCAGGTCGGCTACATCCTCAATAAACATGGCATTAAAAAGAAAGGAATATGTGGGTAGCCGTGATTGCTTACGTTCTCAATAGACAAAGCATTAAAAAAGAAAAATATTTGAGTATTCAGGTCAGCTATGTCCTCAATAGACATGGCATTAAAAAAAGAAAATTTGAATATTTGGCTACGTCCTAATATACATGGCATTAAAAGTCATATGTGGGTAGCAATGATTGTTTACATTCTCAATAGAC